TGAAATTTCACAAGGTTGTAAACTATCATAATCTTAATAAAAAGTTAAAAAAAACCCCCACATATTTAGCAACAAACTTAATGAATCCCTTACTCATACTAGTCCAAATAATATATTGCCAAAGAACTGCTGCCCGTGCATAAGCCATTTGACTAATCAGGGTCTGAATAGGGTCTTCCTGTAGAAATGACTAAGATTAACCAGGATGGCCAACAGTTCCTCTGATTCACATATTAAAAATTTTAAGATTACAAAAATGTTTATTGCGAGACATTTTATACATACAGAATATACAAAACATATTTATAATTGAAAGAATAAATAGCCAAGTGACCACCATCTAGTTTGAGAAACAGAATATTGCCAGCATCTAGAAGCCTTGTGTACCTCTCCCATATCACAAATGCTATCTTGACTTTTATAACAATCATTTCCTTAGTTTTACCACCTAACCATGTATACAACATAATTTTGCCAATTTTTAAAAACATAAACCATATGAATTACTTTGTTTCTTATAACATCGTGAAATTCATCCCAGTTGTGTGTAACCCTGGTGTTTATTTCACTATATTGTATATATATACACACCAGATTCATTTACTAGTGATGGACATTTAGGTTGTTCCCAGTTTAACGAAAAACACCCTTATGAACATGCCTGGTGCACCTATGTAAGAACATGTGAGTTATAGAAAACGTGCAGTGTCAATGTTACTAGGCAAAGCCAAATTATTTTCCAAAAAGGTTGTACCAGTTCATTGGCCACTAGTAGCATATTTGATTATTGCTCCACATCCTTACCAACACTTGGTATTGTATGTCTCTAAACATCTTTGCCATTCCTGGTTGATGTATAATGGTATTCACTGTGGTTTTAATTTGAACAAATTTTCATTCACTGCTGAATCTATTTGATATCCATATGGAAAAAAATACCTTAATCCTTAAATTACACCACACACAGAAATTCATTCCATCTAGGTGCAAGGTAGATATAAACGTGAAAAGTAGACAATAATGCTTCGAGAAGAGTGCTGTCCACAACTTTCTGCAATGAAAGAAATGTTTTATAAATCTGCACTTTCCTACTTGGTAGCCACTAGCTACATGAGGCTATTGAGCACTTAAAATGTCTCTAGTGCAACCGAGGAACTGAATTTTAAATCTTACTTTTGATTAAATTGAACTTGATCAAAATTTAAAATTTGTTCACTAAAAGATACCATTAAGAAAGAGAAAAGGCAAGCCATAGAAAGGGAGAAACTACTTTCAAAGACAAACGACTACAATCCAGAATATATAGAGAGCCAGTATAGGGCATGAAGGCGGATAGTCCTACCCCACCAAACCCCAGAAAAAGGCAAAAGATACACTCCTCAAAAGGGAGATACCCAAATGCTAACAAATATGATGGCCATGAGGGAAGCACAAAACAAGACCACGAAATATCACACCCACCAGAATGGCAAAAATCAAAAGACAACAAGAAGACAAAAGATAAACAATTACCAAGCAAAAGTAAGAATGCGGAGCAACTGGAACTCTCACACATTGATGGAATACATTTTGGAAAAATGATTGACAGCATCTACTAAAGCTGAACATATGCATACCTTATCAATCAGCAATTCTATTCTTAGGGCTTACCCAACCCAAACATAAGTATGTACACGCTGGAAGACAAGCACAAGAATGTTCCTAAAAGTTTTATAACCCCAGACAGAAAATAATTCAGTGTCCATCACAGAATAGAAAAATACATCTAGAAAACAAAAAAAACCCTGATCTGTGGTGTTAGAAGTCAAGGTGGGGTTGTGGGGTGTAGGCCAAGGAGGGCTGTGAGAGGAGCTTCTGTGAGGCAAGTAATGTTCCTTCCAAATTGGGTGCATCCGGGGCTGGCCCGGTGGCCGAGTGGTTAAGTTCGCGCGCTCCGCTGCAGGAGGCCCAGTGTTTCATTGGTTCGAAACCTGGGTGCGGACATGGCACTGCTCATCAAACCACGCTGAGGCAGCGTCCCACATGCCACAACTAGAAGAACCCACAATGAGAAATATACAGCTATGTACTGGGGGGCTTTGGGGAGAAAAAGGAAAAAATAAAATCTTAAAAAAAAAAAAAAAAAAAAAAACAAATTGGGTGCATCCACTCTGTGTAAATCCATTAAATTATATACTCATGCGCACTTTTCTTTATGCACGTTATACAGCCATGCATCATAGCTTAATGACAGGGATACGCTCCTCAAGGCAGTTAGGTGATTTCACCATTGTGCGAACATCACAGTGTACTTACACAAACCTAGATGGTCTAACCTATTACACACCTAGGCTATATTGTACTAATCTTACAGGACCACCATCGTATATGTGGTCCGTTGACCAAAATGTCACTATGCAGCACACGACTGTACAATTTTTAAGTTTATCAAGAATGTTCTGGTAACTTTTGGCATAGACTTATAGGAAGAACCCTGTATCAAATAGGGCTTTTTTGGCTATGGTAGCAGAAATCCAATTCAAGAGATTTAAGAGAAAAAGTATTGATTTCTATTTCTCAAAAAACATATGCCCCCAATAGAGCCAGAGATTCAAAAGCAATCATCAGGTTTTTGTTCTTCTCTCATTTCTCCTTTCCTTTGTGCGGGTTTCATTCTGTCAGGCAGTCAGGCATTCATTCTCCCATGCAGCTCTGGACTTACCTCAACTTCATAGTTGGCAATGCTACTGGAAAACACTTAAGTTCAAACAGGTCTCAAAATTGGCCTAGCTTGAGTCACATACTTTTCCTGGAGCCCATTCAGTCCCAATTTGAACCGCTGGACTGAGTTGTGAGAGTACTTTCCCATCAAAAAGGGGAGAATGAATGGGGAAGGAGATATTTGTATATTTGGGGAAGGAGATAGAAGAAAACCCTAAATTCGCAGTTTCTCCTCGAGATATGTCAAACTCGGTTAAGTAACCTTTAGCGTTTCCTATCTAAAGCATCCAATTTGCTTTGTGAAAAGTCTCTGAACTACTGGGAGAGGGAAATCAAGTTTCTTATCAGATCTCTCTGACTCCAGTCTCTCCCTCCTGACTATATCCTGCATATTATGGTCAAGTTAATCTTTCCAATATAGGGCTCTAGTTATAATAACCCTAAAAAAGGAATTTCTTCTCTACCAAAGTTAAAGATTTTTAGCCTCATGGTCTTCCAAGATCTCACCTTAACTTTTTCACACTCACATACTACTCCCCTCTGTGTACACTAAGTTAGTGCTTTAAAGACGTTTGTCACTGTCACTGATCTATTTTAATGTATTAGTATGTAACTGATATTTAATGTGTCATTCCAGAGATAAGGGCATTAGCTTTCTTGTTACTTTAACATTTGATCCTTAGTACACGTATTTTTCTGAAAGCCAATATTCTTATGAAACTACATTTATCCTGCTAAAAATAACAATGTGGTAACTCTTCATGATAAAATGAGAGATATAAATAGCACTCTCTTTTTTGCTGAGGAAGATTCACCCTGAGCTAACATCTGCTGCCAATCTTCCTCTTTTTGCTTGAGGAAGATTTGCCCTGAGCTAACATCTGTGCCCATCTTTCTCCATTTTGTATGTGGGACGCCTACCACAGCATGGCTGCTGATGAGTGGTGTAGGTTCACACTTGGGAACCAAAGCTGGGCCGCTGAAGTGGAGTGCACCAAACTTAACCAGTAGGCCATGGGGTTGGCCCCAACAGCACTTTCTTAATAGGAAGACCTGTTAGAGAACTATTTTCTCTATACCATTCAGCCTTTTCCCATAAAATTATTCTCATGTTATTTTCAGTACATAATTTCAAATGACAAGTTTCAAAGACTCAGTACAGAAATTTTGACATATAAATAGAACCTGTAACAAGCTGTACCATCTTTAGGGTATATAAAACAAGACATGTTCATAAATAGGCCACCTGGATCTTCAGCTAATTTCATTTGGGCCAAGCGTCTCCATCTTTTCATCCTTAACTAAAACTAATTTATATATATAACTAATTTACTAACTTGCTAGGGTTTCAGAATTAAAGTGGTTTTTAATTAAAAAAAGAGGAATTGTGGTATAAAGAGTGACATTATTTTTAAAATGAGCATGAATTAAGCATACAAACATATCACTATTTTTATTTTCATTTAAAGCCAAATATGCTATGACTTAAAAAGTTTAGACAAGATGATCCATATTTTACACTTTAATACAAATTTAAGAACATAAAGCATACTATTCTCTATTGTTCAAATCTAATTATTTTAATCTGAAGTACAATATTTATAAAACAGCTCCTGCAACAAAACCAACATTATTAGGAGAGTTGTTTAAATTAGTTTTTAATGGTTGTAGTAGAGTCAATTTTCCCCATTAAGTACCTAAAGGGATTTAACACTCCTTTTTTTTTCCAATTTTTTTGTGAGGAAGATTGGCCCTGAGCTAACATCTATGCCAATCTTCCTTTATTTGTATGTGGGACGCCGCCACAGCATGGCTTGATGAACAGTGTGTAGGTCCACACCTGGGATCTGAACCCACAAACCCTGGGCTAAAGCGAAGTGCGTGAACTTAACCACTATGCCACTGGCCTGGCTCCTTAACACACCCTTTAGGTTGCTTGAATACAATGAAGAGTGCGATATTAATAAGTAAATATTATATATCAATTCAGTCAAACACTCAAGATAAAAGGAGTGACTTTTAACTTAAACCTAAACCATTGATGAATTTTGAAAATATATTTAAAAATACCCTCCCAGGAGAAAGAGAGTGAGGCTGAAAAAGTTCTCAAAGAAATAATGCCTGAAAACTACCCAAATGTGGCAAGAGACTTAAACTTCCACACGCAAGAAGCTGAGCAAACTCCAAACAGGATGAACCCAAAGACAAAGCCCAAAATAAACATGCAACTCCCTGTGACCCAGAAACTGCACTCCCGGTCATTTTCCCCAGGGAAGTGAAGACTTGTGTTCACACAAAAATCTGTACACGAATATTTATAACAAATTTATTTGTAATGGCCAACAACTGGAACCAGCATAGAATCCTTCAACCGGGGAACAAACAAACTGTGGTACACCTATACTTTGGAATACTACTCAACAATAAAAAAAATATGAACTACTGATGCATGCAGCAACCTAGACGAATCTCCAGGGAATTATGCTGAGTGAAAAAAACAATTCTAAAAGGTTATAGACTGTATGATCCATTTATATAACATTCTTGACATGATAAAATTACAGAAACGAGGGACAGATTAGTAGTTGTCAGGGGGTAAGGAGGGGTGGGGGTACGAAGGAAGTGGATGTAGTTATAAAAGGGTAACATGAAGGATCCTTATGGTGATGGAAATGTTCTGTATCTTGACAGAACAATGTCAATATCATGGTTATGATAAAGATGTTACCATTCAGGAAAACTGGGTAAAGGGTACATGAGATCTCTGTCTTATTTCTCACAACTGCATGTGAACCTATAAATATCTCAAAATAAAAAGTTTAATTTAAAAAAAAAAAAAAACCCTTCCAACCACTGTTAACACACTCCTTTGTGTTCACACAGCATGTTCCAGGAGTCATAATTTTCTGTGCTTCCATAGGTCTTTCTATTGGGGCAGTCATCAATCATCTTCTTTCTCAATATATGTCTTTGAATTAACCCGAGCCATTTGCCTGGCCAAGTACCTGTCTCTAGCTGACATCACAGTTTCTTCATTGTTCCGCTTTGCAAACTTACTCACTGCCTCATGTGCTCTCTCTTGTTCTTTGCCCATCTCTTGGCATTCCTCCGTGTGTCTGTGTTTTGCTCCCAGTGAGGTTTCAGAACTAGAGGGTTTCTCTGGGTTTCTTTCTTTGTCTTTTTCCATGTTTCTCGTTTTATTGGATCTTTCCTGGTCAAGAAACCTGTCCTTTGCCCTAAAATTTGGGCTGCTTTCCTTTCTGTCTTGATTTCTTTCTGATGACTGGACACTTACTTCCCGTTTTTCTCTATTTCTGTATTTATCAGTGTCTTCATATCTTTCTTTCCTTGCTTTCATATGCTCTTCCCTTTCTTTGCTTTTCTCTTCCTTCTCTCTTCTTTTCTCACTGTGTCGGTCATGATCATTTTGCTGTCTCTCTCTTTCTTGTTCTCTTGGGGGATATTTCTCCCTGTCTTTCTCCCTTTTCCATTCTCTGTCATTTCTTTCTCTATGGTCTCTTCCCCTCAGTTTATCTTCTTGTTCGTGCTTCTTCCAGTGGGAATCTCTATGACTGGCCTCTCTGTGCCTATGGGAATCCTTTTTTTCTTTCCGGTAATCACGTTCAGTGTAATAGTTCTCCTGGTCCTTGGACCGTCTCTCTTGATGCTGATCTTCCCTTTTCTCATATTCTCTTGACTTTGAACTTTTTGTGTGGGCTTTGGTCCCATGCTCTCTTTCTTCACTAGATGACCGTGAGTAGCTTTGATTCCTGTGATGCTTGGAATCATTCTCAGAGGTCTCTGTGCCCTTTTCCCTTCTGCAGTTCACTTTATTATTTTCTTCCATTTCATCATCCTCACTGCTCTTAGCATCAAAGTCACTGTCTGCATCTGGGTTTTCCTCCACTTTCACAACAGTTTGAAGAATGCATTTCTCATGCGGTACTCTGTGCTCTGAACTTACTTCATCAGAATAACCCCTTGATTTCTCTTCCTTTATTCCAGACCTTTAAAAAAATAATATAACACAAAATGCCACATTATCAACTGTAGTTAGCAAATGCATTGTTCAAGTAATTTTTCTCAATATTTAAATCAATACAACTATAATTATATATACTTTCTTATTATCCAAATGTGAAAAGGTGCTGATGTCTACCTTGTAAACGTCCATAAACTAGTAGTTTCTAAACATACAAAATATTTTCAATATTGGTGGAAGTGAAATAAAGAAAATCAGTCCTTCTGTATTGTAGCACTAAAACCTTCAGGCAGAGGTCTGTGCAAGGTCTTCATTTTTGCTAAGCATAGACAAAGAATAATTAGGAAAAGTAACATATATTCTGGATCAAAGTACTATTTTTACAACATGAAGTTCAAGTTGTGGCACTTAGACTTTAATTCTTCTTTCTTTTAAAAAATATTTAAGAATAGTTCTGGAAATAGATGAAGATAATTTTTTTCACAATAAAATGGTTGCAAAATCTATTCTAAATATTACTAAATAATCCCTCTCATGATTAAAAAGGCACCACCATCCTGATATATCCCTTGGCACCTATCACAACAAAATGGAAACAGGCGAATCCGTCTGCTATTACAATCAATAACACTAAAACTGTTTAAACCGTCTGCATTTTCCCAGCTGATAAATGTGTTTATTTACATTACTCTCACATTCATTCTTACAATCACAATAACAGAGCAATAACTGTGGTTCTCTAGGAATTGCTGGCAGAACTGTCTTGGCTAAAGGACTTACTAATAGAATTTTGTAATCAAAACCTAGCAGTTGTCGGGGATGGCGGAGTATAAACCTAATTTGCTCTTTTCATCGTTAATTCCATTCTCTTGCCGCTCCCCTTTCCAGCAACACAGACTCAGATCTTCTAATCTGAATGTTTCTGTTCCAAAAAAAGTTTACTTAGATCCAAGTTTAGGAAAATTCTCCCTTTTACCTTCAGCAATATACTTACGGCATAATCATCTCACCATTCCTATAATAGTTTATAATTTTACTCAAAAATCCTCCAGGGCTGGCCCAGTGGCACAACGGTTAAGTTTGCACGTTGCACTTCAGCAGCCCGGGGGTTCACCGGTTCGGATCCTGGCTGTGGACATGGCACCGCTTGTCAAGCCATGCTGTGGTAGGCGTCCCATATATAAGGTAGAGGAAGATGGGCACAGATGTTAGCTCAGGGCCAGTCTTCCTCAGCCAAAAGAGGAGGATTGGCAGTAGATGTTAGCTCAGGGCTAATCTTCCTCAAAAAACAAACAAACAAACAAAATCCTCCAATCCTTACTTTCTAGTCCAGTACTAACAGAAGTATCTACAGAAATGGTACTGTCCCTATCTGTGGTGTCCAATATGGTAGCCACTAGCCAAATGTGGTAAATGAATACTTGAAATGTGGCTGCTGTAACCAAAATTTTAGATTTAGTTCAAAATAGCTGGCAGTAGAGGAAGATGGGCATGATGTTAGCTCAGGGCCAGTTTTCCTCAGCAAAAAGAGGAGGTTTGGCAGCAGACGTTAGCTCAGGGCTAATCTTCCTCAAAAAATAAATAAATAAAATAAAATAAAATAGCTGCCTATGACTAGTGGCTACATATTGGATAGGACATTTCTAGCCCTTCATAAGTGAATCTTATGTTTTATAAGGAGGCTGGATCCTAATTATGAAAATAAACCACTTATCTTTTTATATACTATCTGAACATGCATGTAGGATTACTGCAGAATAAAAATGATCTTAAACTCAATCTGTAGGTATTTAAAATAAGAAACTATAAACCCTTAATTCATTCAATTAGGTCAGGTTTGGCTGACAACACGATACAGAACACTGCAATCCTCGATCTTTCAGAGGATTAAAATGATTCCACAACCAGAGAGGATGAACAGTATCTTTCTTCTAAACATTCCATATGCCCCGTCTTACCTGGCTTCACGAAAGCTGCATGTAGGTACTTCCTCTTCACCAACTGCTTGATTTAATAGGTGCCTGTAAAATCCACTGAGATCTTTCTGCTTGGTTACATCCAAACGTGCTGAGAGGAAAAGCAAAAGTGAACTCAACAAGGTAAAATGCAGTTCAGTTTTACAGGCACAGAATATATAACATACACAGTGGGTACACTATTCTCTAGATAAGAAATTAGCAAACTATAGCCTACAGGCCAAATTTGGCTTGCTGTCTGTTTTTGTGAATAAATTTTTATTCGAACGTAGCCCAATTCATTTATTTATGTAGAGTCTAAGGCTGCTTTTGCATTACAAAGGCAGAACTAAGTAGCTGCACCAGAGATATGGCACACAAAGCCTAAAATATTACAGGCAAAATTTTTAAATAAAAAGCCAGAAGGATTAAGCTTAGTGAAGAAGGCATGTCGAAAGTCGAGATACACCAAAACTAGGCCTCTCTGTCTGTTAGCCAAAGTTGTCAAAGCAAAGGAAAAGTTCTTGAAGGACATTAAAAGTGCTGCTCCCGGGAACACACGAATGATAAGAAAGTAAAGCAGCCTTATTGCTGATACGGAGAAAGTTTTAGTGGTCTGGATAGAAGATCAAACCAGTCACAACATTCCCTTAAGCCAAAGCCTAATCCAGAGCGAGGCCCCAATTCTCTTCAATTCTATGAAGGCTGACAGAGCTGAGGAAGCTGCAGAAAAGTCTGAAGCTAGGAGAGGTTGGTTCCTGAGGTTTAGGGAAAGAAGTCATTTCCAAAACATAAAAGTGCAAGGTGTGAAGCAGCAAGTGCTGACGTAGAAGCTAGAGCACGTTATCCAGAAGATCTAGCTAAGATAATTGATGAAGGTGGCTATGCTAATGAGAGCTTTTTATTGTTGACCACACAGCCTTATATTGGAAGACGCCACCTAGGACTTTCATAAGCTAGAGAGAAGTCAATGCCTGGCTTCAAAGCTTCAAAGGGCAGCCTGACTCTCTTACTAGGGGCTCATGCAGCCAGTGCTCATTTACCACTCTGAAAATCCTAGGGCCCTTAAAAACTGTGTAAATCCCCTCTGCCTGTGCTCTGTAAATGGAAGAACAAAGCCTGGATGACAGCACAACTGTTTACAGTATGGTTTGCGGAATATTTTAAGCCCACCTTTGAGACCTCCTGCTCAGAAAAAAAGACTCCTTTCAGAATATGGCTGCTCATTAACAATGCACCTGGTCACCCAAGAGCTCTAACAGAGATGTACAACCAGACTAATGCTGTTTGCGTGTCTGCTGACACAACATCCATTCTGCACACCTCATGGATCAAGGAGCAATTCTGACTTTTAAGTCCTGTTATTAATCAAGAAAAACATTTCATAAAGCTGTCGCTGCCATAGGTAGTGATTCCTCTGACGGATCTGGACAGAGTAAATTGAAAAACTTCTAGAAAGAATTCAGCACGCTAGATGCCGTTAAGCACATTTGTGATTCATGGGAAGAAGTCAAAATATCAACATTAACAGGAGTTTGGAAGAAGTTGATTCCAACCCTCATGGATGACTTTGAGGGGTTCAAGACTTCAGTGGAGGAACTAACTGCAGGTGTGGTGGAAATAGCAGGACAACGAGAATTAGGAGTGGAGCCTGAAGATCTGACAGAGTTGCTGCAGTCTCAGATAAAACTCAATGATGAGGAGTTGCTTCATATGGATGATCAAAGGAAATGGTTTCTTGAGACAAAATCTACTGCTGGTGAAGATGTTGTGAAGATTGTTGACATGACGACACAGGATTTAGAGTATTACATACACTTAGTTGATAAAGCAGTGGTAGGGTTTTAGAGGATTGATTCCAATTTTGAAAGCAGTTCTACTGTGGGTAAAATGCCGTCAGCATTGTGTGCTAGAAACCACGCGTGAAAGGAAGAGTCAGTCGATGTGGCAAACTTCACTGATTGTACAAAATTGCCACAGCCACCGCAACCTTCAGCAACCACCACCCTGATCACTCAGCAAGCAGACATCAACATGGAGGCAGGACTCTCCATTAACAAAAAGACTACGACTTGCTGAAGGCTCAGATGATGGTTAGCATTTTTCAGCAATCAGGTATTTTTTAATTAAGGCATAGACATTGCTTTTTTAGACCTAATGCTGCTGCACCCTTAACAGACTACCATATAGTGTAACATAACTTTTATATGCACTGGGAAACCAAAAACATTCATGTGACTCACTTTACTACGATATCACTTTACTGTGGTGGTCTGGAAAGAACCTCCAGGATCTCTGAGGTATGCCTGTAGTTCACCTACATCTGTTCTTCCCTTCTGTAGTAACAGAATTTAAGCTGGGCTCTTGGCTGCTCAGTTAGAGATTACATTTTTAAATCTATCATTAGTTAATTGAGGCCATGTGATGACTAATTTGGCCAATCAAACATGGCCAAAAGTATTATGTGCACTTTCACCCCACCAGCTTAAAAGAAAAATTTTTGATGTGGACTGACTTTCCTTGTTGTACATTTGAATATGGATGGGTTTATTATTTCAGGCCATGACCCAAATACAAAGGATCTATCTGGCCCTTTACAGCAAGTTTGCCGACTAGCGCTCTACATGAAGACATAGTACATGCTTAGACTGAGTCTTACAGATTTGGTTTTCTTCCACTTAAAGATGATGAGTACTTGCCAATTAAGTTATTTATAAGTACATATTTCACTTAGATTTTGAGAAATGACCATGAGTTGAAAGCACTGAAGGAAAGCATTAGGATATTCTTTGGCCTCTGCACATCTTTGTTCTTCCTGAATTAACGTTATTTTTTCCTAAATTCCCAGTTGATGCTCCTTGAGTGATATTACTCTAATTTTCTCATCCTAGAAAATATGACTAGTATTTAAATCTCAGTTTACATTGCTTCTGACAAATGTCATGGTGTTATGCCTTCTAAGAAATGTTTCTACATTTAGAATCATTTTCTTTCTTTCTTTTTTTTTCAAAGATTGGCACCTGAGCTAACAACTATTGCCAATCTTTTTTTTTACTCTTCTTCCCAAAACCCCCCAGTACATACTTGTTTATTCTAGTTGTGCTATGTAGGACACTGCTTCAGCGTGGCCTGATGAGCAGTGCCATGTCCGCACCCAGGATCCAAACCAGGATCTGGGCCGCCAAAGCGGAGCGCGTGAACTTAAGCACTTGGCCACGGGGCCAGCCCCTGGAATCATTTTTTGAGGCAAAGACCTGTAATGACCACAGTTTTAAGCAACACAACGAGCCATAAATGAAAATTCCAGTAGACGTAATAGTTACTAAGAGTGTAACTGTCTTTTTAGTTAAAAATCTGTTTTATACTACTACATAATATCACATCTTGTACCTTGAATTCATATATATAAATTACGACTACAGCATTATAATCTAAAAGTTCAGTGACAGAGCACATGGCTAAGCACACAGCAGAACTCTGCTTTTGTTTCCTTCTACGCTTCTTCCTTTTCCAATTCACCTTCAAGTGCAGCAGCCCTCTTTTCTCTTTCTTCCTCTTCAGCTCTCTCTTGTAGTTTTTTCTTATAAGCAGATGTCACAAACGCCTCTTTATCATCAAATTCTCCCTTTTCCATTTCTCGTTCTCTCTGTATTTTCTTTTCCATTCTTTTTTCCTGTTCCTTTTTTCTGATCTCAACTGCTTTTAGTAAGTTGTGAATATACTTGGGCTAAGGAAAAAAATAAGATTATTAGGAAAGAGCTGTGAATTCATTAAGATAGAAATGGTTAGTCCAAATACATAGGATGGTCATCTTCTCAAAATTCAATATAAATTTACTAGCAAGACTGAAACAAAAATTCTTTTCAATAAAAACTTAGGTATAAAGACAGAAATTATTCAAAATGTTACTTTTTTAAAAAATCTCAAACTAAATAAGTAATTTTCCCACTGTTCTTCTCACCCTTTTACTGGTATTGTCTTAATCCTTCTTCAACAGATATATCAACGAGAAAGGTTCCTACTTGTTTTGCACATTAGCCGAAATATGATTATTTAAAATAGTAGCTGTACTATAATTTCACCCTACCACTCTATTCGTAGATACTGTAAGATGCAACAATCCTTAAAAATCAATCTGTGCTTGTGAAAGAATAAGAGTGATAGAAAATTTAAACTTATTTCAATTCCCCACCCTCCATTTTTTTCAAACTGAAAATATGACCATGATATGTGTAGATGATTCAGTTACCAGCTAAGAAGCAATAAAATGAGAGTACGATAAAACACAAACATGAACAGGAGCAGGAATAGTACAAAGACATTCTAAGGAAATTTTTCAAAAAATTATTTGTAAAGGTTTTAAAGCAAAAACCAAAATTTATAAAACTGCTGGATAATTCACTTGCTCCTGTCAGGATACTAAATGTAGGGCTTCCTGGGTTCTAAGTCAAATATATAATATCTTGAACTAGGGGCTCTTCACACTTTGAATACCTAAAAGCATTCTCTCAGATCATCTTTACGCTGAAATAAGATTAAGATACAAAATGCAGGTCAAGGTCAAAGAAAGTTTGCATTTTCAGCTAACAAACCTTTCGGTCTTTTCCCAAAAGCAACTTGGGATTACTTTCCTCCTTTTTTTTCTGCATTTCATCATAAATACTGTCATATTCATATACAGTGGAATCTTCTGCAAGGGCCTTCTGGATCGCCAGTTTGGTCTTAAAGAAAAAAAACCCACAAAAAGTCTAAGTAATATTTTTGAGAGGATCATAAATCAGAACTATAACATAAAAATTGTATCAATCACATTTTAGACAGAAAACATGAACATCAATTCTGGAGCCAGGTTGCCTGGGTTTAAATACTGGTTTTGTACTTACTAGCTACTTTGGGCAAGTCTGTTTAATCTTTTTGTGCCTCAGTTTTCCTTATCTAAAAGAATGAGGTGTAGGAGCTGGCCCGGTGGCATAGTGGTTAAGTTTGCCCACCCTGTTTCAGAAGCCTGCGGTTCGCAGGTTTGGATCCTGGGCACCGACCTAGCACTGTTTGTCAAGCCATGCTGAGGCAGCGTCCCACATAAAGTAGAGGAAGACTGGCACAGATGTTTAGCTCAGTGACAATCTTCCTCAACCAAAAAGGGAAAGATTGGCAACAGATGTTAGTTCAGGTCCAATCTTCCTCACCAAAAAATAAAAAATAAAATAAAAAGCTCCCAAATTAATGGAAAAATAATGACACTTTGTAATTAATATTTTTGCAATTTTAATTGTATAAAGTCCTCTGCCTTTGTTCATCATGTTCCCCACTTAAGATAAAACGTTCCTCTTCTGCTTTCAGGCCATCAAAATCTTATCTAGAGCTTCAGGGCCAGCTCAACCCTTACCTTCTAAATGAGTCCATCTCTGGGGACTTTTAGCCACAATGATCTCTTTCTTTTGCACTCTGATGGAACATTCTATACTGCAATATTTAATTCTTAATTATATGCTTGATGTTATTGCTTTCTAGTTGTTTCATAAATCTTAGTCTCTTCCCCAGCTTGTAAATTCCTGAGGTACAGAGACTACACATTTTAACTTTTTCTTTAATTGCTACATTGCCTACTGCAATGTGGACCACAAGAGGGATCCCTTTTAATTGACAGAGTGATATTACAGTTATTCAAAGAACTGACCTGATACCCTCAGATTTTTACATATTAATAATTAGATTCAGGAATGATCTACATGCTAACTTAAAAACATTTTTTCTGGAATACTAAGATATTAAAAAATTGAAAAATTTTCTTTTCAACATTTACTTTAACCTCAGAAAAACAATGATTCTCCTGCCTAGGTGATAAATTAGCACTGCTGCTCCCTCTTCAAAATCAACCTGGAGAACTTACAGAGGGAAACATTTGGGATTCAAGAAATAATAGCCACCATCATCACAAAAAGCAAGGGCAAAGGGACATAAGGCTGTTTTAAATTGATAACATGCCTTTATATATGCTGGGAAAGTGGCAGGGGAGCATCTGTGTGGATATAAATTATTATTAACTTAAGTCTCAAAATATATAAAGGCAAAACTGAACAAAAATCTAAGGAAAAACAGACAAGTCCACAACCATAGCAGAGGATTTTAACATATCCCTCTCAGTAACTAATACAACAGACAAAAAAATTAGTATGAGTATATATGGATTAACACAACTGCCCCAATGAAAACATAGAGAACATTTTTCAAGCATAGCAGGAATATTTATAAAAACTATTTTTTAGACCATCATAAAGCTAATCTCCAGATGTTGTAAAAATATGAAACAATATAATACATGATCTTGAAACACAAAGAAATTATGTTAGAAACCAATAACAAAAAGGTAACCAAAACACCCTATATGTTTAGAAGTTAAGTTCTAAGTAACTCATGGGTCAAAGAAGAAATCATAATGGAAACTAGAAAATATTCTGAACTGAATAAAAAAATACTACTGTCAAAATTTTGGAGATGCAGCTATAGCAGCACTTAGAGGGAAATATATAGCTTTAAATACATATATTAGAAAATAGAAATGGCCGGAAAACAGAGAGCTATGTGCACATTTCAGAAAGTCAGAAAAACAACAAAAAAACCCCAAAGAAAGCAGAATGAAGAAAACACTGATTTGTCAGGACAGAAATTAATGAAGTAGAAATAAACTCATAAAACGTACATATGATTAGCTCATTTTATAAGAGCCAGCAAACCCTGGGATTATCAGACTTTTATATTTTTTTCAATATGGATAATTACAGTGAAAGAAAAGGAAAATTACAGGCCGATCTCCCTTATGATGCAAAACTCTTTAACAAAGAAAAATCCTTAACGAAATTTTAATAAACCAAACACAACAGTGTATAAAAAGGATAATATCTTATGCCTATGTTGGGTTTATACCACTTATGTGAAGTTACAATGATTGATTTTCTAAAAGTTAAACCAGCCTTACTTTATTAGTATGAATCCAACACAGTCATGAAGTAGTATCCTTTTCCACAGTTCATTCATGCTTTTTAAAAATAAACAACAATAAAAAAGCCCCTCAAACCAAGATCAGAAAAGAGTTTCCTTACCTTGACAACAGATAACCTACCAAAGACTTATAGCAAATAATATATTTAATGATGACACGTTAAAACCTTTCAAACAAAACAGAAAGTAAGATAATAATGTTGTCATCATCAGTTCTGTACACTTGAGGTCTAGATAAAAGAATAAAAACAGTGGTCTAACTATTAGAAAAAGTATCCCATTTATAAGAGTATTTTCTCTTAGATTTAGTAATTGCAATCAAGCTAGTATTCTTCAGGAAAAAGTTAGCTTGGGATTAAAGCAGAAGACATGAGCATGCAAGTGGGGAATAAGGTGAGAGGTAGGTAGCACACGCAGAGGATCATCAGCAGCAGACAGATGAGGCACAAGAGCTGCAGCAGCATTCCCAATTTCCAAGCAAACTATGAAAAAGTCTCACTAAGAGAAAAACTGGCTTTGAACAAGCCAGAGTTAAGAATAAAATTAGATTCGGGATTTATGATTTATGTGAACAAGAAAAGGCAGCACAAAAATGTCAAAAATACACTAGAAAACAAGAGACCTACATGACCTTGGAGAAGTCACCAGACTCTGTGGAACTAATTCTCTTATCTATATAGTGAAGAAGTTGAACTTGATGGTCTCAAATTCTATTGAGCTCTAAAATTCTGATTCAAAGCACTCAGCATTTATGTTAAAGAATCACAGTGTTTTAAATGTTTTTACGTGTGTATTAAATCATTTTGAGGCTGCTGAGTTACATGTTATATTTCACTAAGAAACTAAGATGTTATCTTAAAATAACTAGGGAGGCAGTAAAACACAGTGGCTAAAAGCTTGGGCTCTGCAATTTCACTGCCTGGGTTTGAACACAACTAGACCATTTACTAACTATGAGACCCCATGAAAGTCACATAAATCCTTTTTACTTTCATTTCCTCAACTGCAAAATGGGGATTATAAGAGCAGCTATCCCATAGGATTATTGTAAGAATTAAAGACCCTTCTTAGAAAGTAGTTGCCATAATGTCTGGCACATAGAAAGTGCTTAACAAATTTATCCTTATTCAGGATTCTAGTTAGAGAAGGGAAAAAGAGGTGACAAAAATTAAAGAAAATGTGGAAGGGAAAGAACTAAAATCTAAAAGAAAGGTACTTTGCCATCTTCATTATGTTCTGCAGCACTTAAATCTAAGATACACTGGTAGTAGAAAAAAAATTAGTAAACCTTCAGGCTTAGTTCTGTAATCAGCTATGTGATTATGAGGGTTAATTTATCCTCTTAAAGCTTCAGATATCTTAATCAGGACCAGGGGCAGGTTTGTGAGAATTTTAAAACGATAACGTATGTATATAAAAAGTGCTTGGAAATACTATACAGCACTATAAAATATAAGACACTGGCAAGTTTACTGAAGATTACCTGATATTCCCCTTTCTTGGTAGGTGACTTTCAAATAATTAAAAACTGTGAAATCACTTTGGTTGTCAAGAGATTTTTTTTTTTTTAACAAGCTGACGAGCAGGAGTTATTAAATCATATAAACCATTGTCAGAACACTGAGTCATCTGAAAGCAGAAAGGGTTTAATCTACCATGTAGCAATAAAGAGCTAATTCTTCATAGTTTTTTTCCCTTAAAATTTATATGAGAAACTTGAAATCTATGTAAATCAACAAACCTTTTACACATTTTCAAAGACAAGAGTCACAATAAAATTATTATTATTATTATTATTCTTGAGGCAGATTAGCCCTGAGCTAACATCTGCTGCCAATCCTCCTTTTTTTGCTGAGGAAGGCCAGCCCTGAGCTAACATCCGTGCCCATCTTCCTCTACTTTATATGTGGGACGCCTACCACAGCATGGCTTGCCAAGCAGTGCCAAGTCCACACCCGGGATCCGAACTGGCGAACCCCGGTGGCCGAAGCAGAACGTGCGTACTTAACTGTTGAGCCACTGGGCCGGCCCCTAAAATTACTTTTTTATACACACCTACTCTGTTTAGTCTCAACACCTAGGTAGCAAAACTGATACTTAAAAATGTGAGCTGAAATACTTACGCCACCAAATGCATCTAACTCACTCTTCCACCTTACCTGTTTCATTGCTTGCTTCTTAGCAGCTTCCCTCTGAAGGCTTTCACTCACGGAGGTCTATAAAACAGAAAAATGCTGTCATTGTTTAAACCAATTTAAAATTTCTTTTCTAGTATTCTGGTTAACAACTCGTTCCTTACTTATAATTAGAAATAGAAAGATAATATTATGAATTAAACTAACAATTTCAAGGTCTCTTCCCTACATTTTAGGAAACAAATGAATTTTCATTGTAAATCATCAGACCAGGCTGTAAGGTTTAAGAGAAAATAGAGTGGTACAGGAAAAAATAAGGTAACATGGGTTTTTAGTTTCAACTTCACCACTAAGTCAATTCAACCTCTATGGATTTCAATTTGCTTTGTGTGCACATGTGAGTGTGTAAGTGTGAACATTTGTGTGTTTGGTGGGGGATGAGTGGTCCCTTTCAACACTAAAATGGTATGATTCCCAGCAACAAAAAGCACATTATTTTAATATTCATCATTGAATATAGTATATCAAGCTTTTAGTAAATGGTTAAGGCTTAGGGGTAGCCAGAACTATCTGTGGTTATCATCATTCAATAAATATGGACTGAAAAGTCTACCATATCAGGCATTGTTCTAGCTCCTGAAGACAGAGGAAAACAAGAACAGTCTCCGTCCTTGAGAGATAAATGGTCTGAAAAGGAAGACCAATAACTAAAGCGATAATTACAATATAAATGCGATAAGAAATATAATAAAGGGATAATAAAGGGATAAAAAAGGGATAAAAAAGGGCTGTGGGAGCACAGAACAGAAGGAAACTAAAGGTATAAGAAATCAAGAAAGGCCTACCAAAAGAGATATGACATTAGACCTGAATCAAAAAGAATTTAAGAGAAGGCAAGAGGAGTATAGGAAGTAGTAACCATATGGGCAAAGGCAAAGACTTACAGCTAAGAAAAGGAACATAACTAGAATACTTAAGAAAGTAAGTTTCCTTAAAAGCATAAGGCTTTGTAAAATATACCAACCAAAACTGAAATGTTCTGTTTAAATGGGTGAATTTTATGGTATGTGAATTTTATCCAAAAAAAAGGGGTATTATGAATTTATTCATTTATATATTTTTAAAGATTGGCACCTGAGCTAACATCTGTTGCCAATCTTCTTTTTTTTTTCCTTCTTCCCCTCAAAGCTCCCCCAGTACATAGTTGTATATTCTTGTTGTAGGTCATTCTGGCTCTGCTATGTGGAATGCCATCTCAGCATGGCCTGATGAGCAGAGCCATGTCTGCACCCAGCATCCGAACTGGCAAACCCCTGGGCCACCGAAGTGGTGTGCGCAAACTTAACCCCTCGGCCACGGGCCAGCCCCTATGAAATTATTTTTAATTAAAAATATATGGGGCCGGCTCCGTGGCCGAGGGGTTAAGTTTGCGCGCTCCGCTGCGGTGGCCCAGGGTTCAGATCCTGGGCGCAGACATGGCACCGCTCATCAGGCAACGTTGAGGCGGCGTCCCACATGTCACAACTAGAAGGACCTGCAACTAAGATATACAACTGTGTACCCGGGGGGGGTTTGGGGAGATAAAGCAGAAAAAAAAAAAAAAAAAAGACTGGCAACAGTTGTTAGGCCATGTGCCAATCTTAAAATAAAAAAAAAAAAAAAAATATATATATATATATATATAATCCCCAGCCTTAGAACTATACCTACTGACATTTGCTGTTTTCAGTTTTATACTATCAAGTGGCACTTCTTTTGTTTTCCACGGCAACAAACAGAACAAAATAAACGAGGCTGATTCTAGTTCCCCACGACCATGGAGACAAAATTAATACACAAAGACCATACAAGGAATAGAACACATACTTAATAGACTAAAAGAGGCAAAGAACTAAGGACAAATTTAGGTGATAGTAAACTGACTCCAACTAGAGGAAGAGATGTTGATTAAAAAAAAAATAACAGCGGCTAACATTCATAGAGCCAGGTGCTATGCTAAGTGTATTACCTGTGTATTACTCATTGAATTCAAATTTCCCTGTTATTCTCTGTTTCACCCATTACAATATCAATTTTAAACATTAAAATATTAAATATTCTAATAAGCACATCTCATGAAATTCCTTCCAATATATTTTTATGTATCAGTCTTCCAAATTAAAGTAAATTAAATATATTTTTCTTGATCATTGAGTTAGTAATGTCTTCAGGATTGACTAGAAAAGCATGACTCCAAATGCTGGACTTACACTTCCTTTACTTGCTTTTATTACTTTTTTCTATCTCTCCTTCAGTCTGTCACAGTTCACCTGCTGTCACTTTCAAACTGGTTGCTTCAAGCTAAACCACTGAACTTGGAAAAATAAAACACAAGGCTATTACTTTTTAGACTTCCGTATAATGTAGAATAAGTAGACTGAGAAGGGCCTCTCCTATGCAAAGTATATATACTTTGAGACATCTCAAGAGGCTCTGTTTCCATGTTTATGGCTGTTTAGCAGGATGAAGTCTGACCTTTGAAAAAAAAATCAGATGTTCTTACGTACAGGGTGATAACATAATGGAGGGAGTATAGTAATTTTACATAGCCTACTCACAGACTTACATCCCCGGAATTCCAAGAGCATCAGTGGATAAAGAGGTAACTCTGAACTTAAGCTGAAAAAGCTAGGGAAGATTATCTCCTTTGAAGCTCATTTGATTCTCAGTATGCTAACTAAAGGAACTCTGACAAGGACTATTAAAGGTGATGACTAAAATGCCAATAACCTGTTTAAACACATACACACAAAAAGTTAAAAATGAAGAGTAGCAGTAAAACTTTTAGTTGTTTCTATAATAGTGATCCTACATGAAAATCAATAAATGTGTTAAATGGTATTTTAAAATCTTCTACATAAACATAAGAAACTCTAATCTAGATCCAGATTGGAGATAAAAATAACTAGCAAAATTAAAAGCAAGATCAATAAAATTTTATATTTTAAAGGTCAAGTCTTTCCAAGTTTTTAGAGATACCCTTAAATTAAAATACTAATACAAAATTTAAGACTCAACTTTGAATTTAGTTTCCATAAAAGGGAAGGATATGCAAGAGAAGATAAAAATGGCAAAAGCAGGTCCTTGTGTATAAATTAAGGAAGGCTTCATATCTCACTGAACTCACCAAGAGAAGAAATAGACTTCATATATGTGCCCTATGAATAAAACAAAACTAAGATATATAAGTGCCAACACATGAGCTTCTAACTTTACAGTTAACATACCAGCCTCTAACTTTAGAGCTTATTCAGATTTCACCAGTTAGACATGCAAACATTTGTGTGTGTGTATGCTATTTTACGACATGGCCAGTTTCATGTAACCACCACCACAATCAAGATATTCAACTGTACCATCACCACAATATTCCTTTGTGCTACCCCTTTATAGCCATACCCACCTCTCCTCCCCTATCCCCAATCCCCAGCAACCACTAATCTGTTTCCTATCTCTACAACTGTCATTTCATGAATGTTAAACAAATGGAATCATTCTGAGATTAGCTTTTTTCATTCAGCATTATTTTAAAGGAATGTATTTTGCTTAGTACAGATACTATAAAACACTTCAGTTCTTGCCACAAAATATTCTAGCCTACAGATGACCTATGGAACCACAGCTGTTAAACAAATGATGAAGGCTGAATATGATGAAACCACACAATACAGTCATTAACTGATTGCTTTCAAAATTAGCAGGCAGGAAATTATTCTATGTCTGAAGACCAGCACAGAATAATTTAAGAGATTACTCATTAATGGTGCCTTCTAATAAAACCACAAATTATCATTAGTTTTAAATTTAGGAAGACAAAAATTACTCCCTGAAAGGGACTTTACCTTAAAGAAAAAATAATTCAATTTATAAACTAGTTCAAATGCAAACATTCTGACTGTCCTAAAAGCGCAAAAACTGGAGGAAGATGGGCATGGACGTTAGCTCAGGGCCAGTCTTCCTCAGCAAAAAGAGGAGGATTGGCAGATGTTGGCGCAGGGCTAATCTTCCTCAAAAAAAAAAAAAAAAAAAAAGGGTGCAAAAACTGCTATTGTACCACATTTATCTTTCAAAATAGGTTTTCTACCAAAAATCTCAGGTAAACAGCTTTTTAAAAACCTGAAGTAGGAGTTCTCTGCAAATGTTTCAACTTAATTCAACAAACATGTTCTGAGAGCCTACTATGTGTATAGCACTGAGAGTGGGGGAAGAGCCATATTTGATCAACATCTTAATTTTTTATATCCAATCTAAGAGTTGGTAGGTTCCTATTAGCTTTAATTCCTCATAAGAAATGAACATAAAAAAAGAACATAAATTTCCTGGTCCATTTTATATATGCTAATATAACAGTACTCTCTCTCTCTGTGCACTCGCACACACACACTATGATAAAGAGTAAAGACGTGGTCATCAAATACAGGCACCATAAATTGCAGAATTAAGAAGAACACTGCAACTGAATTTTCTCAGTCTTCACTACCTCCATTGTTCTATGTAGAGAATAAAAATTATTTAATCAATCTAATGTTTCACTGAATTACAGTCAGACAGACATAATCTGACTAAAATGGAGACTTTTAAAAATCTTTACGATTAGCTCAGATAAATGGAAGAGAAAGCACATGACTGTGCACTTTTCTTATGTCACTATACATGTTTAGATGGGTTGCCTCCTGGGCTGTGATAATTCCCAGAAAAGAAATAACTCTCAACGTATTATTGGAACTCCTTCACTAATATATAGAATATAACGACACTAGGAAAAAAATTACAGATACTGGACCATTATTTACATTGTTAAGTTACCTTTCTTTGATCATAAAAACCTTTTTAAAAAGTTAAGCAAAAATTCAGGAAAGTATTCTGATTTTTTCTTTCTGCAGAAATTAATCTGTGATTCCATAACCAATACACCACAAAGGGAAAAAAAAATCACATATGGGCTTCCTTCTGAAAAAAGAGGCTTACCTATCTACTTGTCCAAAATAGCTCAGCTAAAGAAAAAACAGTTCAAGAATCAATCCTACTTTGAATGGCTTATG